TTGTAAACCTTATATAGCAGTAGTTCTCCACCTTCCTAATGCCCTGACCCTTTAATGCACTTCCTCATGTTGCGGTCACCCCCAACCATAGCATTATATTCATTGCTACTTCATCACTGTCATTTTTCTACTCTTATGAATCGGGCGACCCCAGTGAGAGGGTCATTTAACCCCCAAAGGGGTCATGACCCACCAGTTGAGAACTGCTGCTATATAGGATCACGATGAGTTGGCATTGATTGGATGGCAGCGGGTTCATGGCTAGTGAAGGAGCCTGGTGGTGCTGTTGGTTGCTAACCACAAGGTCAGCTGTTCAGACTCACCCAGCCACTTCTCAGGAGGACGATGAGGCTGTCTGCTCCCATTAGGATTCACAGTCTGGCTAGCCCTCCACAGGTGGCTGGCTGGCGGTGGTGTGGTTTGGAGGTGGTTTGGCCTCTCACTGAGCATCCAGTGAGGGCTGAGTGTTAATCATGACCCTGCCCCCGACTTGTGGGATGCTTCTCCCCTCCCGGGGCCTCCCGAAGTATGAGTCGTGCATCTGTCTCAGAGACCACTTTCTGGCTGAGGACTGTCCACGTTCTCTCACCCTCCAGGCGCCAGGAACTCCGAGAGCTGCGGCTGCTGCAGAAGGAGGAACACCGGAACCAGGCCCAGCTGAGCAGCAAGCATGAGCTGCAGCTCGAGCAGATGCAGAAGCGGTTTGAACAGGAAGTCAATGTGAGTGAGCAAAGAGGGGCCCTGCAGGCCTGCTTGCCCGTGGTCCCCCCACCCCCACCCCCAGAGGGACCTGCAGCATGAGGATGGCTGGGCAGTAGGAGCAATTCCTGGCAGTTGCCCAGTCCCCACGGCTTCATAGCCATATTGAGCATTGACTTGTGCACACGGAATCCCAGGGAGGTCCCAGTGACTGAGTCACGAGGGAGCATTTCTAGAGGGAAATAACTCTGACTGGGGACCATGCCACAACGCAGCAAGCGAGGGAACAGAGAAGTTAGGTCAGTTGACCCAGGTCACACAGCAAAGAGTATTTAACCACCACCACCACCACCACCAC